TGTGGAAGGAAGTTGAGCTCCAATAGGAGCTCAACACCTCAAAAACTTTTTTGCAATCTGATATACATGGGTTAAACGAGAGTAAAGGAAGGGGAAATTGAGATAAATTTTGAGAGAGAGGGAGAAATTTCGAGCAGGAAGCTCCACGGCTTCGGCGAAGGCAAATCTGAAAGATTCGAGTGATCGAGTTGCGTTTTCTCCGATTAGAAGCTGGCACTAGGTTCGTGGATCATTGAAGGTGAGTTTGAGAAACTGAAATTAGCTGGGTAAGTGAGTATTTGCTTTGATTTGGGGGATTGGGTGATCCGGGTCTGTTACAGACCCGGATGGCTGGTTTGGCCGCCCAATCGGGCGAGAGAGAAGGGACTCGGCTGGGTCGGGTCCTGAATGGGGGTCGGCCAGGGCTGTAGGCCTGGGCTCAGCTTGCCCCAGGCTGCAGGGCCGCGGCCCTGAGCCGCGAGCTAGCCACGATGGGGGGGAGGGGAACGGGGTACAGACCCGGGCCAAGGGCCCGAGTGGGGAAGAAGGGACCCAGATGGGTCTAGGTCCCTGTGCTGGGCCGGCCCGCCCTGTTAGTCTAGGCTCAGCCTAGAAAGGCTGCGAGCCCACGGGCTGAGCTGCGAGCCCACGAGCTGAGCCGCGGGCCAAGCCTAGGTGGGACTGGGCTGAGTCGACCCATTGGGTCGACTCGGCCCACTGAAAATGAAGGCTGGGTCAACTCAGCTGAGTTGACCCAGAGAGAAAAATTGGAATAGAATATTCCAGGGGGATAAGGAATCAAGGATAGGGGTTAATTGGGGATAGCATAATCCAAGATTTGGGGATTAGGATTCAGGGAGTTGATTGAATCGGCCAGAAACGGTCCAAGGTTTGATCGGTCGGTTCAGTGGTCAAATGGACTTGAATTTGGGGAGTTTGACCGGTTCTAGATTCAGGAAGAAAATACCTATCAAACCAAGTGGGTTCGGGAAATTTTGGGTGACCGGTTCGAGGTGAACCGGCCGGTTTAGTGTAATTCCTTCGGGTGACTAGTTCACCGATTTTTGGGCCAATTTTTGGGAAAATTGGACCGGTTCCTGGTTCAACATGATGCAACCTAGTTGACCATGGAATTTGGCGATGTTTGGAGGTCTGGTTCAAGGTGAACTGGCCTCAGTTTGCGTGCCGATGTCCCAGATTAGGGTTTTTGGCCCGATTCGGCCTAACCTTAAAGGTTTTTGGCCAGGTTAATATGATTCCTAATGCTTTTGGGCCTTTTAAATCTATTTTTGAGGGTTTTATGACCAATCGAGTTGAGTTCGAGGTAGTTTTGGGATTGGGTTAGGCCAGTTCAGGGGATTCAGAGACCGGTTCACTGTGCGTTGGGAGTAGTGGAGGTTGGTCCTTTACTGTTAAGGGTTGTTAAGCCGAAGTATGAGTATTAGTGAGTTGCACGGGATCCGGTGATGGGTAAGGGTGTCTCAGGATGCGTGTCAAGTATGAGAATGGGATTTAAGTCCTGTTTGGGACTGTCAAGCCGTTTGGGTACTAACGATGAGGTCGGTGACGGTTTGTATGGTTTTGACTTCAGGTTCACCCATGGAGGAGTATTAGGACCAGAGGGTTGATTGATAGAACCCGAGGCTTTTGTTAGATTCAGCCAACACTGTGAGTGATGATACCCCCTCTGTACATGTGTTTCATACTTGTTTCCTAGCATGTGTCTGCATGGATTTGCGAGACTGTGTTTGATATATGAATCTTGGAATATGTGATATGTGTTTTGTGAACTATTAGTGGATTAAATTGATATGTACCATTGATTTTGGGAGATGTGGATTTGGTGTGTGTATGTGTATCTGGATTAACTTGCGTGTGATGATGGTATTGTGTGATGTGATGTGGGGACGCCAGGAACTCGGCTAGAGTACGGATCCATAGAGTCCAGTGGTGAGTGGCCTGGGTCGTGTGTGATTTGGCGATGCCAGGAACTCGGCTGGAGTACGGTGTTCCGTAGCGTCCAGTGGTGAGTGGCCTGGGTCGTGTGTGATTTGGCGATGCTAAGAACTCGGCTAGAGTATGGTGTTCTGTAGCGTCCAGTGGTAAGTGGCCTGGGTCGTGTGTGATTTGGCAATGCCAGGAACTCGGCTAGGGTACGGTGATCCATAGTGTCTAATGGTGAGTAGACCTAGATCCTGTGTTGTGATGTGGATTGATATGATGTAATGTGATGTGATGTGATGCGTGGTTAGTAATATCTCTCAGAGTATAGTTAATGTGATATTAATTGTTGTATATGTCAGTATGGTTTTAATTGTGACATGATGTATATTCTGACATGCATAAAGTAGGTATCGTCCGTACTCACTGAGTTTCGCGACTCACTTATTATTAATTTCCAGATATAGGTTGCTGATCTCGGGTTGCGTATCAGGATCGAGACGATCGTTTGCCACTCCAATCGTTGTATGGGCGAGTTCTTTGTTTATCATTTTGTACTCTAGGGCTTCCTTTATCCCTCAGGTAGGATCTTGGCTTGTAAATGACCATTTTGGAATGTATATATATGTAAATGTTTGGGTTAGTTTTGATATTTGTTTTCGAGGGTAAAGCTGACTAGGGTTTGGGACCCTAGTGCCAGTCAGGATCAGGGTTGGGGCCCTAACAAAAAATTTTTCTTTTTTTTAAAAAAAAACTGCTTTAATTGAAATTAAAAGAACACATTTTTTTTTATATTTACAATATTTTAGTTTTTTAAAAAGAATAAAACCAAAAAAGAAAACGCAGATTCAAAGCATACCCACTTATTTGGTGCTTTTGTCTTGGCACGGAGTGAGAGAGTGATACTAGGGAGTGGGACATTCGTGGCTTGACTAAGTATGTGGTTGTGTTATTGTAAAAATAAAAAAAGAAAAAATTTGTGCTTAAACAAACAAGAAAAGAGAAAAATGTTAGATGATGTCTAATACTTCATGCCACATCCCTTATATTGCCACCTGTATACACTCACGCGAGGAGTTGAAGAACAAGGTCTAACAATCCTTTTCCCTTATATCTTCTATTTCCGTTCTTCATACTCATTGTGTTTTTTTAAAAAAAATTTATTGATTTTATTTTTTATTTTAATTTTTTTGAATAATTTTATTTCTTCATTCAAAATAATAGTTTGATATTTTAATGCATATATTTTCTTGAAAATATTTTTATATATTTTGTTTACAACTTATGGGTCACATAGAAATTACATGTAAGGCTATTTTGTTTTTAGTTCGATTGGATGGTAGATATTATTATTTAACATTTATATATTACTTTATTATTGTAATTATTGTAAAAATAAAACATAAGTTTTTTATGATGCTTTTAATAGTAGCAATTTTCATTTAATTAAGATAATTTATTAAGTTGATATTAATTCATATCCTCAATAAAATATATTTTTTAAAAAATAATTGTAATGTCAAATTATTATTTTAAAAAATTCTTTTGATAGTATCATTTTTCATTTAATTAAGATAATTTATTAATTTGATATTAATTCATATCCTCAATAAATGTTTTTTTTTTAAATAATCGTAATGTCAAATTATTATTTTGAAAAATGGACGAGACAACAAGACTTCATTGCGGTGACAACACCGAGCACGAGGACTCGGCTGCTCCTGGACAATATGATAGATGTGACAGCAAGACTAGGCTCCAGCTTGTCACTGTAATATGGGGCAGCAGAGCGACTTCCACAAGTCCTGCTGTCAAGTCTCTTGTATTGCGATGACCAACGGATTAGAAGATCCCACCTAATACAAGTCTTTGCGTGTCTTTCTCTATATATACATACTACGCCTACAACCTAACTTTTTAATATTTGTCTTTTCTCGTGCACACTCACATAAGCTAGCTTATTTTGTACTGGAGTCAATATGGCTTCCAACGGAGAGGTTGTTCGCCGTTTAGCCAACTTTACACCAAACTTATGGGGTGATATTTTCGTCTCATTTACATTGGATAAAGAGGTAACCTTTTGATATATACTAACACTATTATTTTTGGTATCATTTAGCATCGATGAGCTACAATACATTTTTATACTTTTATTATATTATCAAGGCATTTGATGAATTTAAGTTAAGAATAACATCTAAGCCAAAATAAATAACAATTTTTGTAATACAAATCAAATCTTAATACAAATATCAATATTCCCATTAAATCATGCACCATCAGCCAAAGGCCATTATCCTAATTAACAAGCCGGAATTACTACTAGAGCTCTACAATTATCTAACTATATATTGTTTAAAATAGAACAAACTAGATAAATCTAATAGAAAAGTCTAATTAAGCATGCTTGCCACTCATCTTGCAAACTCTTCAAACAGAGAGGGCCAAAGAGCATAAGAAGTCACACATAAAACACAATGCCAAAATTAGGGTTTAAATGAATTGTATATATATGAAAATCAACTTTAGACGAATAGAGAATAGTAAAAATGAACAAGCATCCCTAACTATTTTTGCTTGTACACACACACACACACACACACACACATATATATATATATATGAAAGATCATTTATTAGCTTCTATAATTTCATTCAAGGTTTTCTCATAAAAATAATTTTAATTGCAATAGATTTAGCTTCAAAAAGCATAATAAATTTGGTCTTTTATTAGTTTTACACACAGAATTTTCAATTTTTATATCGAATTAACTTGCTAAATCTGATATTTGGATTCACTATAGCAAAAGATGTACTAAAAGATTATTATTATTTTATTAAAATCTAGAGACCTTTTTCAATTCCTCGCATTTGTAGATATTAGAGTTTTATGTATAGCAATTGGCTTTGTTCGTATCAAATATTAATCGGGGATGGAAAGTGCGGAAATTGATAAATTTTAATACTAGATACGTTACAAATAAAACTAGGGGGCCTTAAATGACATTTTTGATGTGAATAGTAAGACTAGAAATATAATTTTTCCCTTATTAACCTTTCATTTGAATGTCCTTGGGCAGCAATGCAAGGCATATGCCAAGGAGGTGGAATTGTTGAAAGGACAAGTGAGGAATGTACTGCTGCTAGTAGGCAGCAGTAATAAACTGATGGAGAAAATTCTTCTTATCAACACACTCGAACGTCTTGGTGTATCTTATCATTTTGAAGGGGAGATTGAAGAGCTTCTACAACTAATGTTTGCTAATTTTCAAGATGACAGCATTGATGACTTTGATTTGTTCACTACTTCAGTTCAATTTCGCATATTCAGACAACATGGTTACAAAATACCTTCTAGTAAATCCCTCATCTTGCATGCATACATGATATTATACTTGAATTATAGGTTTGAGTTAAGGTTAATATGATTGAGTATGCGTTTAATCTCACATGAATTAATATGTTTACTCGGATGAATTAGGTGTATTCAACAAATTCAAAGGCACAACCGGGAAATTCAAGAAGTCCTTAGTTCAGGATGTGATGGGAATGCTGAGCTTGTATGAAGCAGCATGTGTAGGGACACATGGAGAAGATATTCTAGATGAAGCTCTTGCTTTTAGCAAAACCCACCTCCTCTTGATGCTACCAAGTTTAAACCCTAATCTTGCAAACCAAGTGAAACGCGCTTTGCATCGTTGCCTCCATAGGAGCATGCCTAGATTGGAAGCACGACACTACATATCATTCTACGAAAAGGATCCTTCAAGGGATGAACTGTTACTTAGGTTTGCCAAGGTGGATTACAATCTACTGCAGCTATTGCACAAGCAAGAAATTTGTGATGTCTCAAGGTTAGAAATTAACAAAGACTGAGTGAGAGAAAGAATGATAGTGCAAATATCTAATAAACTTAACATGTTTGATGTTTGCTTTATTGTGCCATGTAGGTGGTGGAATGAAATGGAAATTCCTGCTAAACTTCCTTATGCGAGAAATAGGCCAATTGAGAGTTATTTTTGGAGTTCATTTGCCTATTTTGAGCCACAGTACTCATTTGCACGGGTAATTCTAGCTAAAGTTATCATGGTGATGACACTTTTAGATGATACCTATGACGCATATGGTACATTTGAAGAATTGAAACAATTTACTAATGCGGTGGAGAGGTATGTTGTTACATAATTACCTAGTCTTACATTATTAATTGTACATATATAATTACCTTTTGAAAGATATAATAAATGTACCATATATCTAAGGAAAATAAGTTAAGTTTAATAAATTTTGGGGCATATATTCTATATTTTACTCATAAATAAATCTGCGTATAGGTGGGACGTTGTTGATCTTCCAGAATATTTGACTCTAGTATTTGGGGCTCTTGCCAATTTGCATGAGAAGTTAGAGGTCCCACTGGCTGCGCAAGGAAGGCTTTACTATGTTGACCATTTAAGACAAAGAGTATGATACATTCAAATCTCTCTCTCTCTCTATCTCTCTCTCTACTTATAGATTTAGGAGATCCTTGGATATCTAGCATAAGTAGATAGGATCCTAATCCAAGTTTATTCCCAAAGTTTGTTAGTTTAGAAACATGATTTTGTATGTATATTATCAGTTCAAATATCTAGCTAGAGCTTATGAGCTGGAGACCAAATGGGTCGAGGATGGCTATGCGCCAACAATGGAAGAGTACTTTTCCAATGGGATAGCAACCAGCACGGGCACCTTGCTCCTTGCTTCATTTGCAGGCATGGAAAAATTTGCAAAAGTCGATGCATTTGACTGGCTGCAAGCTAATCCAAGAATTGCGGTTGCTTCTTCCATAGTTGGTCGCCTCATCAATGACTTAGCAAGCAGTGAGGTATCATATAAATTGATACTATGTAAATGCAATGTACATTGCATTTACGGAACTTATACATATGATTCTTTCAAGTTTCTTGATTGGTTCAAACCATTTCATATGTGTAGCGAGAGTAAGAAAGGGGACATATTGGTGGTGCGCTTGAATGCTATATGAAGGAGTTTAGCCTTTCAAAGCAGGATGCCATTGACGAAATATATAGAAGGATAGATGATGGATGGAAGGATATTAACGAAGAAATCCTTAGGCCAACCACGGTCTCCATGCATCTACTTGTGAGGATCCTAAATATTACGCGATCAGTGGATGCTCTTTACCAAGATGGGGAAGCATTTACTCATCAACAGATACTAAAAGACGAAATGGAGCTGTTGTACCTGAATCCAATTCCCGTTTAAGTGTGACTTTTTGTTGTATTTGTTGTTATGTCGTGTTGGGAAAACATGTATGCTTGGATATGATGAGTGTGGCTTCTACTTTAAATTTCCTATCCCTTATTTGGCCTGTACTGTTTTAATGCTTGAATATTTGGATTTTATTTTTGTGTGGTAGGTTTATTAATTGAATAAATACATTATTATGAGAAAAAAATAGCAATATTATTATATAAAAATCAATTGATTTAAAAGATTTTGGCATTATGAAGGTATTGAAATCTCAAAATCAAATGACATTAATTTGTCAATCATAGACCAATAGAAAAACTGGAATCAAGCCCCAAGTTGTCCTTTTATTTTGTGGATTATGTGTATTCTTTGGTTGATGTTTTTTCTAGAATCGACTATGGATAACACTAGCCGTCCAGAAACCCATCAATCACACGATGAGAAGATGATAAATATCCTATTTTTCTTGTAAGAAATGACTATTAAGTTAAATATCCTAATTGGACTTCAAATTTAATTGGGTTTATGTTATTAATTTTCTAATTTAAATACTTTAGAAGTTCATATGCTGAAAAATTATAATACATTACACTATAAGAAATAGGTGAGTTTTCGATAGAAAATTCCGATAGACGAGAAAATTGGTGCTTTTCTGTTAGATGGTTCAATGGAAAATCCATCAAAAAAAATTTTTTGATGGAAAAATCTGACAGAAAGGTAAAACTTCAATGTAAAAAATATTTTCGAATGGATTTCCAACTAAAACATTTCATCTAAAAATGGTTTTGATTTTTAAAAAATTTAAATGTTTTCCAATGAAAATATATATGCTAGAAAATAATATTTAAAAATATTTTATATATTTTTGATGGAACATTTTTGTTGGAAAAAGTAAGGTTTTTATAATTTAAAAAAATTATTTTCGATTGAAAGTTTTGTTAAAAATAAGGAATATAAATTATTAATTCGGAATAAAAATATTTCCAAGGTAAAGTGTCACACTCGCCCTAGAATGGTGGGCTAGATGCAATAGCAGGGCAACGACAAGTGCACTACTAAGACAGAAATCCACCAGTATACCAATTGTTGTAACCACTCTAGGTTGTTAGCCTATCATCTGTATGGTTTGTTTAATCATTTAGCACACACCATCTATAACATAAAAGACAACTAACTACCATAACGTCATGGGGGTTCGGCGGTGCACCCTAGCACAACATGAAAGTAGCATATGTGGGCATGAATGCATAGCAAGCTAAACCCATGCATAAGCATGTTTACATGCACACTAATCATTTAAGTCTACTCAAGCTCATAATGCATCTGCAAGGTCAGGACACCATAAAATATGTAATAAACTTTTCTAGTTTACATGTGTAACTACAACTCATCCTCCCTACTGCATGTATACTGCATAAGTCATAATTATTAGTAGAGGTCCTGGAAATTGGCCCCACCTTCTATGATAATCTCCTACTCATGAAGGCGCACGGGAGTAAGATGACTAATTTAACTGTGAATCTACAAGGGAAGGAAAAAGTCAGACGAAAATCCTAGTGAATACATATAACTAATCTTAGTGGAAACAGTTAAATTTTGGTAATGTAGTAGTTACATACAATTTTTCCCTAATATTTCAGAGCAGAACATGGCAAATAAGTCAATATCAAGAAAACTAAATTGGTGTAGTAACATTAGCCATAGCATAAGTAGATATATTTTGAAGGTATCAAATAATCACAAAAAGTATTTGGAAATTACATAAAATATAAGAAATCCTCAAAGATCATAGTGCTTAATCATGTGCGTGGTCTAGTTAGTGTGCACAACCAAAAATGGTGCATTTGGGGCAATAAAACATAAAAGTCACGAAAATCCGTAAAAAATGTCAGTGCTATTGCATTGTGTTGCCTACCCCAAAGGTTGCCGCCATTCCCTCAGCTAAAACTAACATAGTCTGTGGCCTTTAGGATCCCTTATTGGATCCAAATTAATCCAAATCATGTGTCATATAATAACATGCATTTGGAACTACCACTTTTCCTGGGTGATTGCCCGACATCTATACTTTGGTGTCAAAACACAAAATATTATGAAAATCATCAAATCAAGCAAATATTAGAAAGCAAAAAATAGCTAAGTTGTTTCCATTTTCTTAATAGCAACATAGAGGTATTTGAGAACTATTAATTTAAGTAGATGACAACATTTTAGAAAAAATAATTAAGATTAAAATGATGCCATTCACTATGTTTGAGGTTTGGGTTTAAGGCCCTAAAGGTTGGACTTCTTGATCTGACACCAATTTAATCCCTTCGCCCATAATGTAATTATTCACATATGCATATGTAAGCACATATATTAGTCTCTCAACAAGCTTAGGTTTTGCATTCTTATGCCTTCTAATTCTCTTATGTATAATTCTTTTCCCTTCTTTATCCTATCCTTCATTTGCCTCATTTTAGCCTCGTGCTAAAGCAATTAGAGTGCACAAGATTCATCTTATTAAACATTTGGTTGTAGAATTTTTGCTTCTCTTCAATTTGTGTGTAATACCCTAGAAATTAATAAATTTTTATTTTTAATTCGAGGCCTTAATTGAAAGAATAAAAAGTTTCGGAGTCAGTTTGAATGAATTAAGGATTTCATCGAAGAAATTTAAACTTTCAGGTACTAAATTGCAATTGTCAAGGACTAGATCATATTTTAGAATAAAACTTAGGGACTAGATCATAAGGAATCAGAAAGTTTAGGGACTTAATCAGAAAAAGTTGAAAAACAGCTAGATTTTATCCTTGACAAGTGCCCAACCAATTGATGAAGAAATGGGTGCCCATTCCGTGCTTTGTCGACCAAATTGAGCTTATAATGACTTATTCAGTCAGAGACAATGCATAACCCTCGATCAATTTGAGAAAAGCAGTTCTTAGCCTTGTCATTTTCTTGATTTTTTGTCTGGCACTTTTGTTCGCCATTTCCAAGCATTTCAAGCTTAAATCAATTTAAGCTAATTAAAAGTTAAATTAATCCTTTGGTGACCATCAGTTCATCATTCCGAGTGAGTCTAAGGGATCAAATTGCCAGAAGTTGAGGTAAATGTTTCAAATTTGTCTAAAATGCAAATCGGGATACTTGTAGGGCGGGTCTGCACGACGTACCTAGTTAGGCGTTTGGATCTACCTTGACTTGAACTACTGATTAATTGGTTTAGACTAGGCCATGGGTTGGCCCAGCTGGAAATGGGTACGGCTTCAACCATAGGGGCTTAGGCCGCAGCTAGGGGGCTAGGCCTTTACACGGACTGGGTTTTGGGTACTAGGTATGAGCAGGATCTGGATGTGGGATTCAAATCCAAACAATAGAAAATAATAAATAAATTAGAAAAAATAGTAAAAAAATGGAAAACTGGATGGTTCAAAGGGTTAATGACCGGTTCATGACTAGTTCAAGGCATTGTAAGAAAGGTAATAAAGTAATCTAGCTAGTTCAAGGAAAAACCGGCTAGTTCATTGATGAAATTAAAGAATTAGGTTTTAATGGCCGGTTCAACACTGTTATGGCTGGTTCAAGGTGTTTTTTGGCTGATTCAATAGATCAAAGATCGGTTCAAGGGGTTCTATTACTAGTTCAAGGCTTGTATGGTCTATTTAGTGAGATTAGGGCTAGTTCCTGGCTGGTTCAAGGGTTTTGTGCTGGGTTCATGGCCAGTTCAATGGTTTTAAGGCTAGTTTAATGGGTTTTTAGCTTGGTTCAATGATTTTAAGAATGGTTTAAAGATGGTTTAATGGTTTTAGATCAGGTTCATGGTTGATTTAAAGGTTTAAGAGCCAGTTCATGATTGGTTTAATAATATTTTGGCCGGTTCGATGAGTTTCGGGGTTGGTTTTGGCAATTTTAAACTAAACCAAGTTGGTTTAAAGGTATTCGAGGCCGGTACAACCTAGTTGATGATTTTTGTATTGGGATTGGTTAGAGGTTCTGTTTAGTTCAGGTTTGAGAGCAAGGAAAAGGATCTCGAGATGTGTGCTAAGGTTCTGAAATGGGTTTTGGACCATTTAGGGCACTCAAGCCCTTAGTAGTGTAGATTTTGGTTCCGATTTTGATGATTTGTCATTATGATTATAGATAATCCCGAGGAGGCATGTCAATTGAAGTCCAAGGATGAGGTAAGGGGTTTAATTTGAACTTGGGGGTGTTCAAGTTTGTTTTTTAGAAGCCAAGTTGCGAGTCAAGTTGGCGGGCGAAGAAGAAAAGATTTGAATAGGATTTGGATCCGACCAATCCAGTCAAGTTGGCTTGACTTGGCTGAACCAAGTCTGGCTAACTCAACAAGTTAGTTCGAGAATTAAGCTTGGTTCGGCTAGTTCAGACCAGTCTAAATGTTTAATAATATGGTTAAATCTGATTTTGAGAGTTTTCAATCCAGTTTAATCTAGTTTTGAGAAGTTTTAGTTGGGTTCAATTAGATTGTAATGATATTTATGCTGGTTCAAGGTGGTTTTATGGTTTAATTAACTAAACCAATCTAGTTTAGGGTTTAAAGGTTGATTTAAAGGCATTTGTGATTGGCTTAATGGTTTTTTAGCCCAATTCAGGCCAGTTCAATGCTATTTGAGGCTGGTTCAAGCTAGTTCAATGGTGCTCGAGGCCAGTTCAAACCAATTCAATAGAGTTTAAGGCTAGTTTAGGGGTAGTTGAGACCAGTTTTGGTTCGATTCAAGTGTTTTTACTTGAAATTGGTTTATATTTCTTGTCTATTTTAGGCTCAAATGTTAGACAATGAACATCAAGATGCGTGCTAAGATTTCAAAACATGATTAGGGACCAATTTAAGCAGTCAAGCTCTTAATTAATTAGGGTTTGACTCTGATACTAATACTTTGTTATTATGATCATAGATACATCTAAGAATACACGCTTTGATCATTGAACTATCATCATGACATTTTTGAATAAATGTAATATATAACTTTATGATATAATAACTCATAATTCAATATATTGATTTTACTAATTTAAAATTAGTAATAATAATTTAATAATAACTTATAAATAAAAGTAACTTATAAGTTTATTATATAATAACTTGTAATCTAATAGTAATTATTAAATTATTTTTAATATAATAGTAATAATAATTTAACAATAAGTTAATAATAAATAAATGGTAGACTG